AATTTCTGTGGAAATAAACTCTTCAAATCTGCCTATTCAGTGAATATGTTACATGAACGACGCCCATTTTCTCCGTATTAGAATGTTTAGGGATTGGCGGTCCAGCTGTGAAATTACAGAGCAATAGTAAATCAATGGGAGAGTAATTTTGACTGACAGAAAAATTAACCAATCATATCTTTCCTCTAAATGTTAGCCTTGTTATCACTATCTTTATGACATGCATTTGTAATGAGGATTTTCATTTGACTTAAATTTAGCTCTGTATTATTTTGGTGATATCAGTAACTCTCGCTGTGCTGTTTTCTTGTTGCATTTCTGAAAGGCGGTCGCACACCGGACGAGAAGCGCCGCCGCCGTGCCGCGTCTAGGGCAACTCAAGTATCGAACACCGGATGCGTCCCGTTCAGTTCAAGATGACGGTCCAAAACCTTTAATCTACTCTCCAAACAGGCAAAAGCTCCCTTCAAGAATGATTAAGTGCTGTCAATGAGTTAAAAGTTTGGTGATTGAAAAAACAGAACAAACGGAATGAGAACGTGCGATCTATTACAGTCTATATGAAGCACGATCTTTATTAGAGCCACAGAAAAATGTTTCATTGAAAAGGGCACAATACATACTCTTCCAGCCTAGGAGGAAGTCATTATGTACATTAACAATAATTTGGGATAAATATAATGCAATTTAATGGAAATTATGTGAGTGGCGCGGCAGGATTTTGAACAGCGCCCAGAGTCGTAGCTGGGATCCGCGGACAGTCGCCGATGTGCGTACACTCATAGAAAACAATGTGTTCAAATTTTAAAGACGTGGAGCGGCGTTTTGGTGTGTGACCGGATTAAAGCTGGATTAGCCTCTTATTTCAAAGGTGGAATTGTCAAAGATGATTTTTAGAAGAAGACACCGTAAGCTTGACTGGTAGTTTGTTTTTCCCCCCGACGAGGGTAGGTGGAGAGGGCCTAGGTTCAAGAGTCACGGTTCGATACTGGAATGAACTCATTTATACTTGTCCCCTAAAGCATAGCTGTAGCTATGCAACATTCACTATGTAGTTAACAAGAGGACTAGAACATGTGTGAATGTGTTGTAGAAGGAAGCAGTGTCATTTTAATACTGATATAATATTATAGATTTTATAATATTATAGATTATAGATTTTTATTTTTATATTTTCTGCTTTCATGTTAATTTTAGTTAAAATTTAGTAATTATGCTTTGTGCTTGTCATTTTTCTTAAACCTCTATTTAATGGTTTATAATTTTTATTTCAGTTGTAATTTTAGTACATCAAGTTAAACTAATTGAAAATGAAAAATGTTGCTTCGGAAACTAGCTGAAATAAAATAATTGTAAGTTTTTTTAATATATTTTATTTCAGTGAACATTTTATTTCAAGTTACAATTTTTTTAAAATTGTTTTAGTTTACCATAACAACCCTGGAAGGAACTCTCTTTCTATACTGTTTAGTTTCATAGATATACTATTATAGTTTTTATTTAGATTTTGAAATTTTTTTATATTTCCTGTTTTCATTTTTTTGAAAGATTTTGAAAGTTTGAGTAATTTTGTTGAACATTTCTGTCATTTTTATTAGTTTTTAAAATTTATTTCAGTAATTCAACTTAAATTGTGAAACTCGTGTATTA